TGTATTAAATTTTTGAATTGCTAATGTGCGTTAACGTCACCGAATAAGACATTTATACTAACTGAAGAAAAGAATAATATTGCGTATGGACGTATAGCGTCAAGAGGATACGATCATGAATTGAAAAAAAAATGGAAAAGAAAAAAAGTTAAGGTAAGATAAAAAAAAAAAGTGAAATGAAATATAGAAAGAAAAAATGCATAATAATGCAATTTTTAATCATGGATCATCATCCTGTTTATGAATAACATAATTACGAAAAAATGTAATTTTTCCGTGACTACCGAGAAAATAAGTGTGAGAAATTATTCGTTGTAAAATCAATCGACGAATAGTATGAATTTTTCGTCGAATCTTGCGTTTAATTAATATTTCCGCCTAAGAGAAATCTGTGTGTGCATACGCAATTTCGTCGAAGCGATGATTTTTTTATTCTCGCTCCCTTCAAATCAATGAATCATTAATAATAGCATTACAATAGCATTACATAGATATGTATTTTATCTATTTTTATTTTTTGAAAATCTAAAAAATGAATCTATTCATATTGTTTTCTTTTTCGCATTAGAAAGCAACTTTTTGGACTTCTGGACGTTGTTTACAGATATATATTCTTATACAAGATTTTTGAATATCTCTTCAATAATCTGTATAAAACATATTGTAGTTTGCATACATTATAATATAATATCTGCATATATTGCAATCATTATTAACGAATTGTTATATCATCTTTATTATTCACGAATATATATCTGGAAATTTGTCTAGTTTGAATAAATCTGAAAGTTCAATGTTCATTTAACTTGTGCTGATATTATTATTGTTACTTTTTGAACAATCGAGTATTCTAATAGGATCGAAAGCGAACGTAACATGCAAATAAAATGTGAAATTTTACGTGTAAAAATTTCACGTATGAAATGGTGTATGCATACTGTATTTAATCATCGACTCGATATAGTGGTGCAATAACAAGCTGATGGATAATCGCGCATAACTACGATATCTTGCCCCGCATCTGACATACATATATCGATAGTACAAAAAAAAGTTCATTTTCTGTAAGTATAATTCGTATTGTGGGCCAGGGTAACATGGAAATGCGTGATGTTGAATGGGAGAGAGAGAGCGAAAGAGAAACTAAAGAAAGCGAATGAATGAGAAATATGATAAATGTGCCTCGACACGAGTATTAGGAGGAGATAAAGGAAATTAATGAAACTATCCTAAGGTGTGATGTTTCAAAAAATCGCGACATGATTTCTTGGTTGGAGCATATTTCATACATTTGGAAAATAGGCATTACTTACATGCAAAGTATAGAATGTGTATGCGAATAAAAGGAAGTACATTGCTAGGTTGATATTGCAATCAATTATTTCTTTAATGATACAAAAATATGATAAAAAGAGAGAAAAAATGAGGAAAGCGTTGTAGAAAGAATAGAATAGAGCGATTTGATTTGTGGATCATGATCATTGAATTTAACCAAATTCTTTTCGAGCAATTGTAACAGTTGTGTTCGATCATGATACAAAACGCTTAATTGTTACTACGGGTGATGCTAATTGTTTTCTGTAATTATATTTATTTTTTTAGATTTTATGGAATTAGAAAATTCATCGTATATTTTGTTTCGACGATCGATTCCGTTTTGCATAAAATTTTTTCGATTTTTTTTTTTTTTTTTAATTATAAAATACTATTTTGCATGTTGAGAGTTCGACTAGTTTCACGTTTATCTTCTACGTGTAAGTAGTTTTTTGTGCCAATCAAAATGAATGCGAATGGCAAAACGGATACGATACCAAACGGCGTTTTATCGCTGAGAGGCGTCGACAAAAAGTTGTTAAAACTCGCCAATTTGTAAGGGAACATATCAACGCATGTGTAAAATTAGAAGAAAATAATCTGTTGAACATTTATTGGAAAAATTATTTTCTCTTTTAATGAGAAATTTTATATAATTTTTTTTATTAGAAATAATTCAAATTGACAATGATATGATATTTTGGTTCATTCTGTTTCAGAAGAAATTTAATTTTTTTATATTTTTCTTTTCTTTTTTTTTTATTTTTTTTAATTTTTTTTTTTTTATTTTTTATTGAGACTTACTGTTTACTTTTGCTTTATTGAAAAATATATATAATATTAAATAATATTTTGATCAAAGAAAGTAACGCAGTAAGATTCTTCAAATTTTACAATGGTATATGTACCCTTAAAATAAGATGAACAGTGTTTCTGAACCGTTGATCGTAATCGAAACGCCTCGTTGATTATTCTCAATTTCGCTTTAAGTTTTCGTATTGCGAATACCAGGAGAATCCTCGAGAGCGTTAAGATTGAATCGATCCATCGATTGAAATCGTTAATCGACGCGATTAGTTTGCTTCAAAAAAATTAATCGACTTGATTAACTGCTTCAAAAAATAAAAGATAAAAAAAAAAAAATAAAAACAAAGCGTCGATTTATCGTTACCTTTATACTATTTATATTCTCTTATTTAAGGGGAGGGGACGATAATATCGAGCAAAAAAAAAAAAAAATTTAAGCGATCCGGTTATCAAACGGCGAAGCGAAAGCATAATGAAAGAAATATTGTGATGCATAATGAGACAAAATATAATAGAGAGAGAAAAATAGACTTCCCATCTTTTTCAATTATGGGGAAGCACATCTTTGTGGACCAACTTAGGAACGAGAAAAGGAAACGAGAAGCTTTTCGATTTGATTAAGCAAGTAATATTTTTTTTTTATTCAATTGCAATATATATATATATATATGTGTTATATATATATGTATTTCGTTTCTCTTTTCTCGTTCGTACTTCTCATTACGGAAGTGGTCTTCTTAGTTGTGCAAAAGAAGAAAATGATTTTCAACGATTTTCAAAGTTGACGGATGAATAAAAAAATGAAAGAAAAAGAAAAAATTTATTAGCATTTTTCAACGGGATCCGTCGAGTCTCGTGTACGAATAAACAATAAATTTATTAAGGCAAATACGAAGTGACTATTTATAATTTACTTATGATTTTATTGTTTAAGCGCTGTTGCGTTTTATAAAAGTTTTAAAAAGTAATATATAAAGAAAAAAAGATGAGAATGAATGATGAGAAAAAAATTCCAACAAACAGGAAGGAACATTTTTGAAAAAAATTTGCGAATTAATATATTTTCGTTGTATTTATCTTCATTGTGCCGCAAATTTCTACTCCTCTCCCCCCATATCGTAGTTATCAATTTATATTCTATATTCACATGCTCGCGAGAAATTAAAATACAATTGTATAAAAAAAAATGGAAACTACTATTTCTCTTAATCTTTTCAGTATGATCGATTTTTTAAATGAGTGAAAGAGAGAAAAAGAACAAAAGCCTTAGAAGAAAAAAAAATCTTTATCTACTATAAAAAAAAAGCATTAAAATTTTAATGTCGATGCATAAATGATATTTCAATTTCCTTTTCCTTTTTTATGAAAAAGTTTCATTCATTAGTACAGAATTGTTCTACAGAATAGTAAAGAATACCATGTAAATTCCTACATAGATATTTATCTCTTATAAAAATTAAAAAGGAAAAAAGAAAACAAGAGAAAGAAAATACTTTTGTGAAAAGTATAATTAAAGATTTAGCGTGTTTGGATATAATTTGTAATTTTTATACATGGAGGGAGGGATATGTTCGTAATTATTTTTTGTTTTTTTTTTTTTCTTATTTTATGATCACATTATTCGATTTTTTTCGTTACCTTCCTTCCGATCCTTTCTTTTTTTTTTTTTTTGTTCAATTAAATTATCCTGTACTTACAAAGTGATATTGTTAATTTTGTATAATCGACATAATGTACTGGCATACAACACGGACATGGCATACAGATAACGACTTAGAACAATATAGCGAAGCTCGTTTTTAAAAATGAGCGGCATTCAATAACTATAGCCAAGGTTGTTTTATGTATGATTGTGCGTGTAACATTGTTAATAAAATAACGATGCTTATGAAAGTTCTTTTACATTCTATATTTCCATTTTTTTGTTCATTTTATATTTTATAGTTTTTTGAAACTTTTTTCAATATCTTATATATATAAAAATAAAATAAAAGTATTAAATTTTATTTGTTTAATACTTAAAACATTGTTAAGTAATATTTTCAATTTTATTGCGGTTATTTTTATCATGTTCGTATATCTATACAACGATCCAATTTTCATGATACATAATAGTCATTTCGTAATGTATGCAAATTCATTTTGAAGGAATATTTATTTGTACAGCTATAAAAAAGATTATTGTTGTTCATGTGATTATTAATAACTTAGTTTTCCACATAATGAAAAATATATCAGATTTAATAATAATGATAATGACTCAGTAATTAAATTATTACTTCCAAATTCGTGCACTTGTTCGGTTAATGCCAGTTTTTAAAAGATTTTGACAATTCGAGAGTACAATACTATTTAATTGCAATTTTAAAACATTAAACACATCTGTTAAGTGTATATGTTATTGATAAGCAGTACGTTTTATAAATTCAAGACTGTATTTATTAAATTATTATCTTTTTTTATAATTCATAAATATTTCTAAATATTCAAAAAACAAATATCTATAAATTACTTTAGTAAAAATGTTTAATTTAAAAAAAAAATGAAATATAAAAATTGTTGAATAATGAAAATAACTTTTTAAAAGGAAAAATCAAATTCGATTCAAAGAGTTTATTAAGAATTTATCGATAGAAAATTTAAAATTTGCTCTTTTTATGTTATATATGTTTTTATAACATCTAATATTTTATTTTCTATTGAGTCGATAATTAATTATGACTTAAAAATAATAATGAAGGCTCTCAAAATTTAGTCTTATATTTGGCGGTAATTTGAATTTAACCGCCTTGTAGAGTATGCGCGGTAAGCGGTAAGGGTTGAAACGTTAGCGCTGCCGTGCTGGTGGTGCGCTAGTGGTTGCGCGCGCACTTCGAGTCACGTTTTCTATCATAAGAAGCGTTCAGTTGCTGTTGCGTGGCCGCGTGATTCGCAGTTTTTAAAGTTCTTGTTCGAAAAAGTTTTTTAGTTTTGGTGATTATTTGATAGTGTGCACTTACGTTCTAATACGAAAATACGATAGAAGCATTGTGTGTCAAAACGATAATTCGATAATAATAGTAAAACGATAATAATAATCGTGGAATTTATACAGAATTATTCGATAACGATCATAAATGGTTTACAATAAAAGTGACAGTTTAAAGACATTCTAATTTTCATTTCAAATTTAATGATATCTGTTAATGAAATCTTTTATTATATAATGTTGCATTGTAATATTATGGTAATTTATCCATAAAAACGACATTGGTATGAAGCAATTGAAAATTTGTTATATGTGAACATCGGTAGGTGCACAAATTTTGATTTCGACGCCATTTATATACGAATTCTCTTTTAACGACCTCTATATTCTCATCATTAGTATTCATCATTTTCGAAATTATGAAGCATCATATTTTCAAATATTGAATATCCAAATATCTTATCAACATAATTAAATTAGATATTTTTTTATTTTACATAATTTATTATCAAAACATTTTTAAATTTGAATATTTAAATAAGATGATATTCGATATTAAAAAATTCTTATGCAACAGAAATAGATTTCTATTGATTAGTTTTCTTAGTGAGGTTAGATATAAATCGATGTATTCAAAGATGCAACAGTTGTTCTTATAATTATATAGTCATTTATTAAATTAAATTTTGTAAAATCATATAATAAATTAATTTCGGTCAATCCTATTAAATAATAATTACAATATATTTTTTCAACGAAAATTTAGAAAATATTCGTTTGCTCTTTTTATGGAAAAACAAATCTTGTATAAGTAAAATTTTAATCAGAATAATTACTATCGTCCATAAGATTTTGTGTAGCTTAATTGTTGTTTAGCCGGCAACTATTCTGAACTTCTTTATCAATGTGGCTTTCATCCTGCTAAGCCGGAAATACTTGAGTACAACGAAATCTATTTTATGAGAGATTGAATCTCGCTTGCCATGATTATATTTTTATTTATCGAACTTGTAACTATATTTATGAAAAATATTTTTGTAGAAAACAAATTAAACTATTTATATCATATTTTGCATTAAATTAAAAGAATTTAGCGCGAAAATTTTTCCGGCACAATTATTGAGCGAAAAAATTTTACTTGATAGAAGTTTTAATTTTTTTCAAAATTATTACATCGTAAATGATTCTTCCGTTAGATAGAATATATATTCCAATAAAATGCATCATAATGTGTATATAATTATAAATTGAACTTTCTCGTTTACAACAAAAGAAATCGATTTAATATTTAATATAGACAATAAGATTCTGAACTTCTATTAATATATTTTTGAAGCAAATTGATCATATATTTGTTTAATTTGCATTCTTTTGAGGTTAAATTTTTAATCGGCGAATAAATAAGAGAAAAGTAAATAAACAAGAAAATTTGTGATTAAAGTGAAATTAATGACACACTAGTGAAAACACATTATAAAAACATTTATTAGTTTTTTCAAACCGTTTAAGAAGTTTCGATTGATGAGAATTGAACGATTATGGATCGATTAAATCCGTTCGATTAATCGTATCGTGAGTAAAGCGCGGTGAATGATTATAAACTTCAGTTTTTGTGCACGCTTCATCAGCTGATTGTCGTGTCCTTGGTGAGTACCCTGTTTTATTATTTAAATTGAATCTCTGCGAACTGATCAATCCTGACACTTCCGGAGTTACTCTATATCTAAGAGTCAGAAGAACGAGAATAAATATTTATTTCCATTTAGAAAAATTCAAAAATTCCCCTCCCCCCCCCAAAAAAAATTATTCATTTCTAAATTGAAATTTAACATCATTGAAATTTTTAATATCATCATTGGAAACAAATCAATTGGAAAAGAGATCGTTATTTGTAATTCGTTTTCTGTGCTATATGGAAGAAATTTGTTCGCCATTTTTATAAAAAGAATGATAATAATAGAAATCGTATTCGTAATGAATTGTATTGGACATACATTATTCAATCGAAAGAACATCAACGTAGGAAAATACGCAGTAATTGATTTCATAAAATCCTTTCCACATTCCCTATTTGTATTAATTATATTAATCTTATAAAATATTCAATAGGTGATGTTTTTAATTTTAGAATAAAAAATTTCCCAGAATACGAAATGAATTTTTATAATCTTGAAATATAAATCGATAAAAGAATTAAAATTATGAATCGATCCGTGCTCCCTTAAATTTTTATCGTCTCTTTTCTCCGGTCACGCAAATTACGTTTCGTGCATGCGAATTTTAAACAGCGCGCGCTTCGATATATTCGTGGTTCTTTTATTTTCGCAACTTCGAGCTGGCAAAGCTCGTACTTCGAGATCGTTTTATTACAAAACGATTCATTTGTCAACTTCATGGTAGACTAGGATGAATTCTCATCGTTGTATTTTCACTTGTAATCGCTCTGCCATGCTGTTAATCTGTTACCAGGTTTAGGTATACGATGATGTCTTAACTCGATAAATTTGTCAACTCCGTGTTCTGTTTGGATTGATCAGAACTCTTGAATGCAGAGACTTGCAATCTTGTTTGTTATTTGAGATCGATAATGTTCGAGTGGTAAAAATAATTAAAGAGTTTTTAAAATAACGATTATTTTACGAATAATAAAACGATTGTAAAAGTAATCTTCTCTTTGAGATTTTATCTTTGAGGTATTCATATTAATAATTTAACTTCTCTTCCAATTTTTTTATAAATTTGCAAAACTATAGATAAATAATCAGCAGTAAAATTTGTATTCTTTTTATTCTATGATTGTTGATGCCTATTATAAATTGTAAATTTATATATCAAAAATAAAAAATTCGATTATTTAGACGAAAATCCTTCGAAATTAAGCGAACTGAAAAAGATTCTGTTATTTTTTTCAATTCTAGAACTTTCGATCCCAGAATTTTAAACTTCTTGTTTAATATTTACGAACATACTTTCTATACATAAAGAAAGACGAGAATTTGAAATAAAATGAAGAAAATTGAGTAAGATCCTGCTCGATTTCAATCCTTGAACATTTATTTTCCGAATTGAAGTTTCGAAAAATTATCTTTCTTTGTGTTCTTACATGTTTAAACGATTGACATTTGAATGAGACAAAGAAGAATCTCGGTGAATGCAAAAAGGATAAAGCTATCGTTGCGTGAAATGTACTCCCTTTGGATGTTTCGTGAACCTTGAAACGAGTAACCAGAGAAAAAGTAATGAAGAAAGTTTTTCTGGCGTTGCGCACATTTCTGTACATAATTTCAAATACAAAATTCAAAGGGTCTTCTCGATTAAATCCTCGTAAAATTTTCTTCAACCAAACTTTTTTCCTTTTAAAGACAATTGGCTATTATATATTATCTTCTTACCTGCGAGTATCGCGTTTCGATTTAACTTTTCTTATTCGTGTGAATTACGCGGTAAAATTGATATTTCTTATAATTATATTTGATAAATTTATGCAATTTCAATTTTGTTTCTTTGTTTCTCGTTAAATTTTCTTCGATCAAGATTGCGGATTGAATTGAATTTTAATTACTCTTCATTAAACGAATCATTTTATTGTTATTATAAAAGGAGAGAATTAAGTTCGAAGATGAAATAAGTAACGATAAAATTTGTGTACTTCTTAATATATAAATTTATCGCAACATCGACGTTTAGAAGTTGTAGAACTTCTCTAAGTTCTGTTCAGTTTCACACGCTTGAGACTTAGTTTGCGATCTATCTCAATGAAGGGAAACTTTACAAGTTATGGTTGTTAAATTAAATACGTAACATTATGTTCGATTTTATCCGATGTTTCATCTTCACGATGTTACGTATTTATAGGTAAAAACATTGGGATCTTCTTCGAAATGCTCGAAGAAAAAAAAGATGAAGTGTATAGGTACGAATATCGAAATTTACGAGAAATTTTTGTTTCCAAACAAGAAATAGAAATATATTTTATCGAGGATGTTTTAAAAATAATATTTTTGAAAAAGAAATAAGTAGAAATTGTAATTAATTTTATTTATTTTAACAAAATAATTTTTAATTCAAATGATTCGATTTTTATTTAAGTTGATGTATCTAGAAAGGTTTAATGTCTCTTCATTTCTCGTCTCGGGTTCATTGAATTTAAAACAGGTTATTCAGATCATAGACAAGAGTTAATTCTATATCGTTTGTAGATCGAAAGTTTGTTGCATGTAGCTTCTTATCATTAAGCTTCAGTTTTATCTTTTCTTTTTATTCTTCTATTTTAAAATCTCTAGGAATAGGATATAAATGAAATCTGTAATTAAAGATAAATTGGCTTTATCACTTTTAAGAACAATTTTCAAAGATATGTGAAAATTATTCAAAATTTTCCTATAATAAATAGAATATTATCTTTATAAATCTTTCTATTCTTTACAAGAATTTCGTTATTATTTAAATAATATAATTATCTTATTTATTAAAATTCAATAAGCAATAATAAAAGAGATATTTTTTTAAAGAATATTTTTCAACAGATATTATTAAGTTTGAAGGCAATTTTATCTTTAGAATAAAAATAAGCGAAATTACATAAAATTTGATTTTGGCCATTGCAACAGTTTGCTCACTGTTGAGATTTAATTAAATCTCGATCACCTCTCAACTATAATATTTGGACGAATCATGATTAACCTCTGATTCGATTTTTGTTGGATCCTAATTAGTTACTAATTGAATCTCTCATTCGTGATGAAGTAATCGTGGCGAGCTTTAAAATATAATTAACTCTGATAGGGTTTCGATAAAATAAATTTATGTATAAATTTTTCAATTCATTATTGTAAAAAAATAATCTCACGGTGAAAATACGGTGCATTGAAAAAAAATAAAGATCAAAAAGGATCCATCAATCCACAATCCACTTTGTAATAATTTTTAATTATTAAATCCATAAAATTGTTCTATAAAATCAATGAAAATTGATAAAATTGCATAACAGATTTTTGGTAAAGGGAAAAGTTAATAGGCAAACATTACGATGTATCTTACCTGTAAAAACGTGCATTTTGCTGATAAAAGTATACTTGATGATGTCTTATAGATTCGTGATTTTAGCGCGGTCATAGATATATTCTCGTGGCATGCATGCACCATGGTTGCAACCTATATATGTTTCATGATACCGAGAGGGTACAGCTATTCTCCATGGTTAATGGCCACATCGAGAGCGTTATTGTGCAACTTTGTATGTATTTATTTTTGCGGTCGAGATAAACGTGGTTTATATTGTGGCCGATCCAATTTCGAAGTTTCGAAAACCTTACGTGACTCGATACCGAATAACTTATCCAGGCAGGCCCGTATGCAACTTAGAGTTTTGTTACGTCTAGAGTTGACGTTACTGTTGATTAATTATCGATTAATGAATTAAGCTGTTTAAATATTCAATAAATTATTCGGATAATGATAATGTGAAAGTTGAGATTCGAAATTTTTTAGAAATTGGATAAGATTAGAAAGTCAACTTGCGAATGGTTTAATCATATCTTGATAGATATTTGAATATTTTTTTTCAAGGAATTCCAAAATATTTTCCCATATTGTACATTTCTTTAATAGTTATATTTTCTATCGGCTGAAATTATTCTTATTCAGAAATTTCAGAATATTTATATTTTCTGTAAGAAAGTAATAATAATAATAATTAATAGCAAATAATGAGTTACAGATGAAGAAATATTTTTTATTTAATATAACGTGATAATACAATAGTCAATAAAATTTTTAATAATACATGGAATTTTTAGTAATCTGTGTGTGAAATTTAAGATTTTAAAAGTAATAGGATTGAATAATACATTTTGAGTGGAAAGACGTACGTGAATAGAGTTCTGAAGTTCGGATTCCGGAATGTAGATGGAATTTGAGGTGAGATAATATAAGAATAAGAATTCCATATTACGTGTTACATCAAACTATTTTCGATTCAATTTGCGATATTGATTAAATTAAAGAAAGAAAACGTGGCCTATTTTATTCGGGTTAAATCTTGCAAAAGGGAAATTTTCCATTAGGTAGATCAAAATCTTAATCCTTGATTAAACTTCGAAATAAATCTTCGATGCAATAAAACTGCTGAAATGGGTTGGCCAAAGATATAAAGGCAATGTGTTGAGCTTTTTGAACGAGTGAAATTAACGCGATAATAGCATGCGATGTTGAAAATCTTATCAATTATACTTTTGTTGAATCCGAATTTCGATTGTATTTAGTTAATTAATTTAGATTGACAAGTTTATTTTGATTCGAGACAAATGATGAGGCGTTTTATTTAGAATTATAAAAAAATTTATAGAATCGTCAGAATCGAAGTTATAAAGTTTATAACAATAAAAAGAAACATCAAAAACATCGAAAAGCAATAATTTCAGGAATGAAAAATGCCTCGATTTTAATAACAAAATAATAAGTGCAAAATTTTCCTTGACAAAGCTCAAAGGAATTCCAAAGGAATTTCAATTATAAGAAGAAGAAAGCGATCCTATAAAAACTTTATGCGAAATGTTGGCGATAAGAAGTGCAACCAAACTCGAACCAAGATTAAGGTATTTCTTAGGGAGATCCAAACAAGTTTCAAATTTCTCCTCTTATAATT